TTCACTGTCTTATCCTGATTTTCTGAGGATTATAAACCAATAGTCTTATGTTGTGCACAGCTGCAGATATTTCCAAGGACAACACACAATTTTGATTGTCTTAGTGGAAAAAAATGTGGTAAAAATCTGTAATGATATTCCACAAAGCAGTTGACACAGAGAGCATTAGGCTGGATACCAGGAAAGCCTGTCTTTTATGGGATTCACTCTTTCACATAGGGAAGCATGTGCTGGATCATTCTCCATTCTCTGAAGAATATCAGAGGAACTCCATTGTGTCAGGTATGTAAATTCAGCTCCTTCTTTTGTATGCTAGTGATGCTTCAGAATCATAGAATCATAGAATCGTAGGTTGGAAAAGACCCCTAAGATTGTCCAGTCCAACCATCCGCCCTACAACACCATGCCTACTAAACCACACCCTGAAGTCCCACATGTACTCGTTTCTTAAACCCCTTCAGGGATGGGGACTCCACCATCTCCCTGGGCAGCCAGTTCCAATGCCTGACCACTCTTTCAGTAAAGAAATTTTTCTGAGTATCTCATCTAAACCTCCTCTGACACAACTTGAGGCCATTGCCTTTCGTCCTATCACTAGTTATCCGGGAGAAGAGACCAACACCTGCCTCACTACAACCTCCTTTCTGGTAGTTGTAGAGAGCAATAAGGCCCCCCCTCAGCCTCCTCTTCTCCAGACTAAACAGCCCAAGTTCCTTCAGTCGCTCCTCGTAAGACTTGTTCTCTAGACCCCTCACCAGCCTCATTGCCCTTCTCTGGACATGCTCCAGCACCTCAATGTCTTTCTTGTAGTGAGGAGCTGAAGAGGGTTCACCATAAGCCCAAAGTATTTTTTTTTTCCCACAGAAAAAATAGGTGTTTTCTTAATTTATGAGGTTGATTGCCATTGTTTCAAGTAAGTGTTGCCATCTAACTTGGGCTTTGGAAATTAGAATGATTGAAAGTTTCTAAGGAAATAAGAAAGCTATGTCCTTATTGGCACCTGTGTATTGTTAGCCAAACTGGTATCCATTTATTGGAAAAGGTATATTTTCAAAGGAGAAGAAACTAGATGAAAAAGAATACAACATTTGCGCCTTAGAGAAACTACATTTTCTTTCCTTTTTCATGATAGTAATAGTCCTCAGCAAGAGGACATGCCTTGAGCAAGAACGAACAATTGCCCATCAAATTCAACTTGTATGAAGAAAGAAAAAAATCTCTTTTTTAGGTTAATCTAAAAAGTAAATTCCCGTGATAAGACTAGACCATTTCAAGCAAAATTCCTCCCTGTCTCGGGCTATCACTCTGTAAGTTTGCTGTAATTTGTCCTTTCAGTTTTTCCAACATTCTGTGCCCTCTGCATTGTTTTGTAATAGCAGTGGCATGATAGACATTTCTAGGAATTCAAATTCTAATGAACATAACAGCAATCCCAGTCGTCATCATGACTGTTGAATCCAGAGTTTTGAGACTAGAGAAACATTAACTGACAAATGTTGTGTCTAAGTGTAGCCACTTGTGTAGCAGTGGCCAGGCTCTCTGTTGGCTTCTCCTAACATAAGCTAGCACAGAGGATTTTGGGTGGTAGGAGTTCTACTAGAAAGGTGTTGCTAGATAAAAGGTGGCAACAAACTACTTTTCACTGGTGAATCATGGGAAAGAAAAAGCTGTCCAAGAAGTAGCCAGTGCTGGCTGGGGTTAAATGTGACCCAGGGAAAAAGCAGATGCTCCATTTTGGGATTTGTGAGGTGTTCTCTGCTAAAAAAACTTTTAAAAATGCTCCTTGCCAATCATCTACTTCATGAAGAAAGGGAGTGGTAGAAACCACATTTGACTTCCTCCTGAAGTCAATACTTTTCTTTGTGTATGGTAAGCAGCTGGGGCATCTCTTCAGAAGCTGTAAAGAATTTCCTTTTATAGCTAAGTTGGGCAGAGTAGACTATATAAAGGAAATTTTTTTTCTTCCAATCCTAGCCATAGGTATAGCCTTGTGGATGTGGAGTACAGAGTTTCAACAGAAAGTAACCCAGTTATTTCTGTCTTCATTTCCACCCACAACTCCCAAGGAATAGTCAGAAGCTTTGACATTGAATCTGAACCAGGAGTTCCACCTCAGCCAAAAGGTATTCTTTATATTTGGAGTCTCTTGTGAAATACAGAATGATGGAAGAAAAACCTTCCCTCACAGCTATTTCCTGTGCAAGTTAAAGGCAAACATTACCATTTATTATACTTTATATAAAGGAGCCAGCATATGAGAAGGCTTCAGCTACAATCAAAATTGACATTCTCTTCACAGTAAAAGAAAAAATGTCACTGGATTTTTACTTCCGCGAATGATGTAGCATTCTTTAAAAGGTCTGTGAAATGGAGCAACGTTTTTAACTTCCAATAATATGCTGCATTCTGTAGTACATTTGATATAATGATTTCAAGTTGTTAACAAATGTTACTGGATTTACTGTTCTATAGTTCTATGGTTTACACTAAACACTAATGAATAAGAGGGAGAAGGCTAAAACAGATTAAACTGCTGCCTTATGAATCAGAAGCAGTCAGGTAGAGGACACACATTACTTAGCATCCAGGGGCCATGTATCAACTTCATAAAATTCCTGTTGAATGTTGCAGTTGCAGTCCGTTGATTACAACAGTGCGACTTTACTAAAACAGGGTGGTCATTCATTAGTAAAACCTTCCATAGTCTTCCATACAAAACAAAGCAGACCTTTATGGTGTCAGCAACAGTTACATTAATTTCAAGTGAAAACTTGGAATGTAAGAAAACAGCAAAGAAAATTAGAGAGAAAGTGTTTACTGGCAGCAGATGAAACTCAAGATTGCAAGGGTAAAGATTGCCTTTAAAAGTTCAGAAACCCATCCTGGTGCATTTTAAAGTAAGGATGGTCTACTTTAGGGAATTTAGAGATTTGAAACAGATTGCACAACCTTAGGATAACTGAGGTTGAAAACAAAGAGAGTTATTGCTGATGATTAGCATTTCACAAGTCCTCTTACCTTGAGGGACAGAAAGAGTACATGTAACAGTAAGTCTGATTGCTTGGCAGTAGCAGCCACTCTTGTGCTAAGCAAGTATGACAGTTCTCTGAACAAGCAGCAAATGTTTTTCCAGGAGAGGAATGACTGGGAAAATGCCTAAGATAATGTGTGTTAGAAAAAAATTGCTATGCTGTTCTAAGGATGAAGTATATCGTCGTCTTGTTTTTCTGGTGCAGAAGCAAGAGAGTGAGATGAAAGTCTGCCTTGGCATTCCTTCCAACCACAAAGAGGAAGTATTTGTAGGACACGCCAATAGCCCCTGAAGGGTAACTCAGCTGCTGATAAATGTAACTGATTTTGATGTTCAAGTGAAGACATAAAGTGTTGGTAGAAAAATGTAAATTCCTTCATGAGATATTCCAGTATTTTTAATATTGTAGTTAGCACCAGAATACAAAGTTAAACAGCACCCTAGAGTAGATGCTCATTAACGATAGCTGAAGTGTTAAATACAGAAAAGACGGGTTCTTTAGTGAATTACTTTGCATATTTGAATCTAAGGCTCATAGTTTCAAAGGTAAACATTACTAGAAAGTGTCAAGAAGATAGTGAAGATGTCTGCAGCTTGTATGTTGAAGAAATCAGGATTTGCTGTAAATTAAAGATTCAACAATGTAGATGTGCCTGTTTCTATTTTTATTGCAAGCAAGGAGAAAAATACTGAAAGCAATAACTCCATGAATAGAAATTAATAGGGATGGCGTGTTTAAGATCTAAAAAACAAAGTGATACCTTAGAAAGCAAGAATTATTAGGATTAAATGAGGATTAGAAAAGTAAACAAAAACCCCAAACAAGCTAGACCTCACAAAGGGTATAAAAATAAATAGAAAAATATCCCTTCAGTTAATTTCTTGTCTTTATAGCCTCACCTTCCCATGTTTCCTTTTCTTAGTTAGGTTCTTGTTTGGAAAGTGAACTGAGGCCATGAAGGAGAGGTAACTTCAGACAAGCACTTCAGACAAGCACTTATTATTATTGAAAGAGCACACTAGCTTCAGAGGCTCTAAAAGCACAAATTCTTGCATGTTTTGAATAAATATATTAATGAATGAATTCAGAATGAATATACTCCTAGCTAAAAGTTTGATTAACTTCATGTTATTTGAGTAGCAAATGGCTGAAAATTTGAAATAGTTTTCTATTATTTGCAAGTTGTGTATTTCTTGATCTTGACAACACTTGTAAGAAAGTACGAAGACAATGGAGTTACTTATCTAACTACTATAGATTTGCACAGTCTAAAACACAGCAAAGGAAAAATATCGTGATACTCAGTTCCAAAGTGTAGGTCTTGCTCCAGAAGGTTATTTGAGTACTAACATATCCACACTATTGCAGACTTAATTTTATCTGTTGTCTGTACTGGTGTTAATTTTTATTATCTCACTATGCATGAATTTTATTTCATCTATATTTGACTGATGAAGCATGTGGATACTTGGATGTGGTAACTTTCTGCTTGCTGCCTTCCAGCTTTTCTTTTTTTCAAACCAGATGTTGAAGCTTAGTGTGTTTTTAACACGATACAACGTGTACTTAGGCTGTTTATGAGTAGTCTGACAATACAGGTACATGCAGTTCTGCCTCATGAGTATCTTGGGTCTAGTATGTGCTTTCATTCATTTAATTTCAGTGGCAGGTCAGCAGAAAGCAGTAATACAGCAGGTGGAATAGCAGCAGCTGGGAAGTTGTTAAAAGCAGTATCATGTCTGAAAAGGAAAATTTGTCAGTAAGTCAGAGAGGCTGAACTAGAGGCACAACTCTAGTCTTTACTGAGACTTCATGGTCACTGAAGACTTGGGCATCTTCAAGACAGAGGATACTAGTCTTACTTGGCAGACTAGTTTGGTCATTTCCAAGCTTGCTTAGACCAGTTGCAAACTCCAACGAATTACACGGAAAAGTTTAGCAGTTCATTGAAGAAAACGGTTAACTTACTGAAGTAAAAGCCTCTGTCTCCACACACGAACTGAAGAGCATCAACCAGCTCAGCACCACAGAGTGTTTCTGGGCCAGCAGCAGCAGAACTGGTTAAGGTAAGCAAACACAGGCCAAGGTAGAAGAAATGAATGTAGGACACAGTGTGCATCTTCACCTGCCAAGAAAGCAAAAGGAGTGTCAGAATTTCCCAACAGAGTCCTAAAGAAAATGACTCCTGCACCCTTGTGAATTGAGAATTCATGTGTACTGTAATCTGTTAGACAATAAATACAGTATCGGGATATACCTCACAATAATTTTGCAACTGTCTACGTATTGAAGCCATGTATTTTGTAAACTGATTACTTCCTCTGGTGAATATTCTTGGTTCACATGCACAAGTAGTTAGAGAACCCTGTTGTAACTATGATTTATGGTGGCTCCTGCAAAAGGAGGACATGGAAGAGAGCGATAGACAGGCAAAGGGAAGCCCAAAATAACTGGAGTAAAGAAGATTGGGAAACCTTGAATTGTTTCATCTGAGAGCAGGCAGGCTAAGAGGGAATATGAGAGTTGCCTGCCAAAGTACTGTGAGAGATGGAGGTGGCATGTGGCAGAGAAGAGCTATTTAAACTAAAGAACAGCACTGATGCAAGAATAAATGGCTGTAAACTGGATGGAAGGAAATTTGGCCCACTAGGAAAAGGGTTCATAATTAGTAGTCCATGGTTCTCCAGCCACCTTAAAAAGGGAAATACCAGAACAAAACAAAATAAATTTCAAGATAGAGCTTGCCAAAGTTACAGAAGAGTTGATGTGGGACCTTCTATAGTAGGGCACCACACTCACAATGACTCTTGCAGTCCTCTGTTACTAGCAAGTTAACATTTGGAAGCATTCAAGAAATTCAGACAATCACTAGTGGCAGTGTTATGGAATTGTATTTTGACTTAATGGAAGCAGCTATACTCTCACTGACCTGCACCATATCCTCTTAATCAGGTTGGGCTATGAGGTATACACAGAGGTGGTAATTCTTGTCTTATTTACATTTGTTTACAAACTGTTTTTTTCCTGGACTTATGACTGAAGAAAGGCCAGTCCCCAATGGGTGTAAATTTGCAGCATTCCATTTATTCACTTCCTTTTATGTCAATTTATATCAACCCTACATGTCAAAGAAGATAGCCGGGTTTTTTTTAAATACTAGGAAAAGCAATTTATATTTAGTAGCAGGACAGTGAAGATTGTGCTTAATGAATATTCTGAACAGATTTAGATCTCTTGCCAAAAATGCTAGTTTTGAAAGGTGTAAATCTGCATTTAATTTCGTTTTCTTTCAAGGTTAAAGTTAGTATTGCAGTCAGGTAAGAAGCTTTATATCTTGCACATGCAGTTAACCTTGGCTTAAAACTGCTTTGTATTAGCAGACTAGTGCAAAGTAATTTGAGTAAAATTATTAATCTTCCCTAAAGTTACTTTCGGGTTTTCAGCAACCATTTAATCTTATTTTTTCACGGAACTTTTGAAAAACTGATGAAATTGCCTTTTTTCTTTTCATATGGGATATCATCCAGTGGAGTATTGAGCCTTCTCTAGTCAATAATTTTCAAGAATTCTTGTTTTGTTGGCGAGGGATCTTAGCACCTTGCTGAATGAGTCTCCTATTTCATCTTTAGTCAAAGCTGAATGAGACAAGTCTATAAAGAAGTCAGAAATTATCCCCCTTTTTTTCCTGATATTTCTGCTGTGAAAATAATGAATGAATCTAAATCCCATGATATATCATAAAAAGAAAGAGTAATTATTTTCCCACTCACAAGAGTATTTAGCCAACTTTGCCATGCAAAAACCAGCAAGCTTTAATGCATGGACATAACTTCAATGGCAGATGGAGTAAGATCGGATTATAAGTGAGTGATGATAACAAGAGGCATTATTTCCTGTAATGATTCTGTATCTTAACAACATCAATTTCTTTTTTCCCTTGCCAGAATTTTGCATTTCTAAGATAAATATGATGCACCTGCAGTTTGAGAACATTCCCAGTTCTGAGGAGGTAAAGCAGAAGGCTGTTTAGCACACCACCTCAGAAGGCTGAAAGACATTACAAATAAAAGACGTTATGTATTTAACAATTGTTCTTTTATAACATTTGGGCCAGAAATAAACGTAGCCATTTAACAACTTTGTATTTTTCAAGACCTTTCAGCTGGGTTGCATTTTCATATAAACACCAGCACTGAACTACAACAAAAGAGATTATCTACTGTTTTTCCCTTAGTGTACGCCAAAAAGGCTGCACAGTATAAACCACAGAGAAATTCTAACCTTATCTCCAAATTTAAAAACAGGCAAGAACTTTCAAACAAGTAAAAACTTTGGGTAAAAGAAGACAGACTCACATATTTCTAGGGCTCAGTAAATTATTTGTTGGATTAAGTGCTGTTTCATCAAAACCAATTCCAAAACACTGTTTAAAACTTGAACTTTAGTTTGTCATTTTAATTAAACATAATACTTGTTGATTCAATATGTTTGTGATAAAATCAAAGTTCCCATTTGTGTCTGATGGGAATATCCCTAAGAAAATACAAAGTAGTAATCCAATTTTTCTTCAGGTTCTTTACAGTCAGAGTGCTTGCAATGTCCCCAATTTGACTAGAAAGCTGAGAGTTTAAAAGAAAACGCAATGGCATGTGGGTGGGGTTTACTGAAGCATCTAATTACATTTGGAAATTGAATACAGGTTCAGGATGAGCCTGGGTAAGCACTTCTTTTAGTTGCATAGAATGACTGACCATATTTTCACAGCTGGAATTTCCTCTTTTTTTCAGTAAAATAACCAGCTTTTGCTGCATTCCTCTTTTAATAGTCCAGAAGAGTGACACCACAGAGGAATGTCATATATGAACACTCGACATCTCTTTTAGCTCTTTATTCTTCTATAGAAGTCATCCTCATCTAACTATCAGTTGGCACAAGTTGTGCATAAGAATTCTTCACATGCTTGGTCATTTTAATAACATAAAAGAACTTGTACAGTAATTATAAATATCTTGAAGGGGGCAACATTTTTATGGATAGTCTATGCTATAGAAAAAAAACCAAGTTCAGAATTAAATTTTGCTTCATAGAGTTTGGACCTGATTAACAAGCCATAGTAGAAGTAATTAGTATGTAATACCAGTATTCACTCATAATTATTATATAAATAAAGCATATATACTCTGGAATAGATCAAGGTTTAAATACTGCTAACTTTGATTTAAAAATATGGGCTACAGCCTAACCTAAATCAATATGTTCCATTGATTTCAAGGAAGCTTGGCAGGATGCACCAAGGAACTAGCACTTTACTTTTATGTCTCTTAGTGCCTAGCTCAATACTTTAAAAAAAAAAAAAAAAAATCATCTTCATCTTTCAAGTATATTGGAAGAGATGCCCATTTGTACATTAAGAAAATGGTTTCATCCTTTGCAGTTACAGACCTGCTCTTTTGAATCACATTAAGGAATGAGGTAAGTGTGTTTTAAATGTAAGACACTTAAACAAATATTTAGGCCCTAAACAATTAAAACATGAGAATTCTGTCAACTGCATAAGTGTCCTTGCAAAACATTAACAGAAAAAGTTCTTGAAAGATACAAATTTGCTGATAAAGGAAAGTTGAACTGGGGCCAATTGACAGAAACAGGTCGTGCACCTACTGAAGCCAAATTTACTTAGAGACAGTTTATATTAATGTGTAGAAATTATAGGGTCATAGCATGAAACTTCATGTGAAAACTTTCCTGAAACAACCTTCCCTACTAGGGAAAACTTGGAGATGAACATGTAGGGGAATTTCCATTTTCTTTATGTACAATTGCTTAAGCTATACAAATATGCAAGGTCAGCAAGAGTTGCAGCTGGTTTCTAATGTAGAAAACAAACTGAACTTCACATTTACTTTTAATTTATGAAAGCAAAAAGCAAGTAAATGCTACAATGCTGCCAGAAAATTGCTGCAGTGACAACATCTCTTAAAAGTTTCCCTGTGAAAACATGAACATTTTATCTATAATTGTGTACAATAAACCAGAAGAAACTTAACATGTGAATAATACCTTTTTTCCTATAAATCCCTGCACCTGCAGAAAATAGCTAGAAGTTCTTGTTTTCAGAAGCATTAATTAACAATAAAGACAATTATGTAATTGGACCCTTTAATAATGACATAACTGTAATATTACAAAGTTCTCTGAATAGAAGTGAAATTTAAGACATGTATCTGCAATAGTTTACCCTTACAGTTGTCTATGTAATTGCAACTATTACATACAGCCATTTTCCAGATCACATAAAATTGCATGTTCAGCAATTTATAAATAATTCTCAGTTCTAAAATAATGTTATTGAAAAGTGCATAATACTCCTCAAACCAGAAGCAGACAATATACAGTAAAATAAAGCTAAAAAATTATTTGAAATAGTAATAAAGATTTACCTTCAAGAAATCACAAAAGCAGCACTTAACTAATTGTGTTGAAAGACTGTTGATTTTTTCCATTGCTTCTTAAAAGTGCAAAGTCTGGAAATGAATTTGTTAGCAGTAATGATGAGAAAAAAGAAATCCAGAGAGATGTGAGATGTTGAGAGCAATGTCACATTTCAATATTGAGGAGTTTATTCCATTGCGCAGGCTCTATCTGCTCTGATTTTAGCAGTGACAGTGAGATTTAGCAAACAGAAGAGGGATTTAGAGAAAATCCTCACATTTATCTACATTACACAGACACTGTAGACAGGAAACAGCTGGGGGAGCATTTGCCTTCTCTCTCTCTCCCTCTTCTGGCAAAGTTACCGAGTAAGGACTTTTTTGGGCATGGTGACAAATAACATCATACCTTTGCATTTTAAAACTAGAGCACAGAAGCATATTTTTTTCCCTTTAAAAGAATGTGAATTAGTGAGTGAGGACTTAGCAGACAAAAAAGCTTGTGCTGCCACGAAAAATCAGAAAATGTATTCTGGTTAACTTTCAGATAGCTATGTGTGTGTTTGTATTTACGTGTGCGTAGGTGTCTGCATTTCAAATATATAAAAACTTCTATACATAAGGGCACTGTTTGTATATATGCATACCTTTGAACATATGTAAAGATTTTATTTATGCATAAAAGCACAGGTATTTTATTTATATAGTATAGAAAGACAGGCAGTCGGTTATCTACTTTTTTCTTAATGCATCTTTACATTATTAAACTTGGCACACCTATATGCTGAGTAACAATTAAAACCTCCAACTCTCCGTGCTATTAACCCTAAAATAGCAGTCTGTAATTTGCTAAAAATAACAGAATTGTTGAGCACTACTTGTAAATAGGGCAAAATAGCTTTGTGATCTTTTAGCAACCACACCAGAGAAATCATATCATTTCCTAGAATTTACAGTACTATGAATAGAGTAACACAAGTAGCTCAGTTTGGGGGGTTTCCATGACATTTATCTTCAATGTGCTGCTGTAATTATAAAGTGATTTTCCCCCTTTTTAGTGCTAATCTTCGTAATCACTCTCGATAACAATGTAAATGACATTGGGAAGGGGAGAATTCAACTTTGTTAGGTCTGCAATACCTAACTTTTGCCTTTTTATTTTTCTTCAATTATGAGTATATTATAAATAACACCAGCTGGCCAGCAACATGCTCTCACGGGTTATGATGTCATTCAAATCCCTCAACTGTGCTAGTGGCTTGCAATGTGCTCCAAGCCAGCTGTTTTTCTATTTATAATGTATGCTTGCATTTCGATACTTAGCTATTGAGAATAAAGTTGTGATGCTGTTTTACAGATACAGTTTATAGTCGTTACCCTTTGGTTTAGAAGATGACATTGGAAAGCAGAGCATTAAACAAGACTGCAGCTCCAGGGACCAAATACATGTCACAAACAATGCATGATTTCCATAAAAGCAGAAAAAAGAGGGCAAAAAGGGAAAAGCATTGCGGTTTGTCCCTATCCCCTTCTACTCACTTGAGAGACACATGCTGAGGTGCTAGCTGTATTTTATTATTGAAAATAACAACTGAGATCATGTTGGCCCAGGTCCATTCTCAGTTTTCAGATCCACCTTGAACTATATGGTGCTCACCAGGCAGAACGGACACATTTAGTTGCTTGTATTCTCCATTAATGGCTAATACTCCACTCTGTGCAGTTTTAAATGGTGTGCGGTTAGCTAAGCTGATTAATGTTTGGAAGGGCTTTCTTCTGATGTAGCATAATGGCAGAATGAGAGGGGGCTTTGAGATAAGTTTTTTTAGTTCAGGAAATACCAATATTTCAAGTATTCTAATACACATTTGTACAGCAGGTAGTATATTTTAATATTCTGGTCTGCATTTCAGAGGTCATTGAACAGTGGCACCATTTTACACACAGCCTGCTGCAACTCATCGCACGTCTATCACTTACTTCACCAGCCGAACAGAAGAATGTGGGAAGGTAAATTATCAAAGCTCTGATATTCTTTATTTTTGGCTTTTACAGTACTACAGATGGGTGTACATAGTTCTGCCTTTTTCTTCCTAAATAACACGAAGAATCCACTCATTCATCACTTCCCCACTGCGTGAGCTTCAAACCCTTGCTTCACTCCTCACCGCTTTCTTTCTCCTAGGTTTCACCAGACTTCTCTTGGTCATGAAAACAGCAGGCAGGAGAAGATGCAATATTTGGCTTTCAGGGTAGCCAGAGAATCGAGGTTTCTCTACACAACTGCTAATCCTGTTTCCTTCCATGGAGCCATTCTGAACTCCTATCCTCAGTCCACCCTATCAGCCAAAGTGTTTGATGCACTTCACTTTCTTTTGGTTCTTGTTTTAAAGTGGTATTGTGAAAAGATGGGAAAACAGAGTAGATCCAAGAGAGGTTTTTGGTAGTAGTTTTTAGACACTGATGTTGCAGTGCTTTTCCTCACTAATGAGTACTTCCACTTTTTTCTAGAAAATTCAACATTCCTCAGGATATACTGATCTGGGGATCACTACTTTCCTAAAATGTAGCTTCTATTCTTTTGATAATATTCTAGCGAGTATAACAGTCTGTTAACTAATGAAGATTTGTTCATTTCACCCTTTTTAAATAGAATAGCTTTTACTTTATAAACTATTTAGAATAAAGTCCTGTATGATTACTACTGACCGACTGCTTATGCAGTTACATACATTCCCTTGAACAAAATGCACCTGTAAACTACAGAATGTATGGTAGGCATCAAAATACTCACAAAAAATGTCCAGGTCAGAAAAAATTATTTAATTGGAATGTGCATAGCTATTCTACATTAAAAGGCTATAGCATATATATCTTTGTTTGGCTTCTTAAGTATAACCTGCAGTGATATAATAGCCACAAAGATATATGAAATGCGTGAGATAGATAATCATATATTTAGGAATTTATGTATTATAATCCTCATCTTCTGTGCTTTAATACTCCTATGATATCACTAACATGCTGTAATGCTGTGGAGCTCATATGTCAGTTTTTCTGGGGACAACTCCATTTTATAGAAGACAGTTAGCAAAGCTACAGATCTTCAATTATCCCAATTAATATATTATGCCTCCTTAAGTCTTTCCTTAAAAGGTAGGAACGGTGCTACAATACCTGAAAAAATCTGAACTATAGTAAGGCAACCAGTATGCCATCATCTTGCATTCTTCTGTACTGGATCACTCCTACTTATATGCAGTTATTTGTTATCTGTAACTGTTGTTTCTTTTCTTACATTGGGATTATAAGTTTTCTGGAACCAAGATAGAACCACTATAATAGGTATCGCCTGAAAGGGTGGTAGGGCTGAGAGCACAGTGGAAGACAGGGTGGAAGAAGACAATAAACACAGTGGCTGGTGAACAGCTGTCCTTGATTATATGAACATAGTAGAGACAAGATTGTCTTTTATTAAGTTGTTTTAAGGACATTCATCCTGCACAGAACATACAGAGATGGAGTAAGATTCATGCAGTGTGAACAGATGATTGAGCTATAGTGAAAGCCATGGGTAATGTGTCCCCTGTCCTCTCCACTGCCCACCGAAAAACAGAAGAGCCTTTGGAAGGAATGATGTCTTATCAGTCTTCTCTTAGCTTACTGACTGGTTACTGAGTTCAGTTCACTGAGCCAATGGGAACTGTATTTTTTGTGTCTTTTTTTTTTTTTTGAGGTCCTGATCATGATATTAGACATTAAAGACATTATTAGTTTGCCTAAATCTAGGCATCTGGTGTCATTTTTAGTGCTGCGGGATATCCTTCATGCCCCAGCTTCCACTACAGTGATACTTATTTCCCAGAAGTCTCTGAGTCCTAGCTGCTGACCTCATATAGATTTCTTGCATACTTTAGGGCATCTCAAATGGCCTTCAGCACCTGCAGGTAACTGAACCCCACCGTAAGGCCTCCTTTTGGCATGTTGATCTGGGATTCTTGTAAGTGCAGCCTTTGGCCTGAGTATTACCTTTGGCTTCTTCATAAACAGAGATATACTCTGTCTTCTGTCATTTACTATTTTTGTGATCCATTTGTGAAGAGGTTTTAAAGTGGAGAACACAACAATTTTCATTTAATTTCTGCATGACTTGAGTGTGTATTTTCCTTATTGTCATTTGCTTATCCTCCAGCTTAAGCTCTTTTGGTTTTGAGCTGTCTCTTTTTAGTTGCTTCGTAAATCATCTTGCTTACTTTTGGATAAGACAACACATTATTTACAATGTTAGTATTATTTCCTGAAACACACAAATGATTGTTTAGCTCTTCTAGTCTCTAGCGAATTATTTGTAAAGTATGATGTGTTTACTATCAGAGAAGTTTGGCTTACTTTTCTAGGAAACAACTTTGGAGAAAGTGGTGAAAGGGAGCATTTTATTAATATGGAATGTTGTGCTGAAGTTAGTTATAAGTCAAGTATGGATTGGAATATTCCTTTCATCAAGGTAAAAGTTAAGAAATCAAGAAAGAAATCATTTTACTAATTCCTTTGAGCTAAAGGAATGTTTAAAAAAACCCCCTAAACACCTTTTCTCATGGTGGCCTAAGTAGCATCATCACTACATGAAAAATAAGCAACAAATTCGATGGGGAGGATGAGAACATGCAATTTGAGCTGTCATTACATTGACAATATTGAAGAGACATCAAGGAGAGAGCAGTGTCATGAAAAACAGTTTCTCACTTGGACGAAACAGGGAAAACGCAAGTTTCATGATTAAATGAGGATCAAGTAAATTGAAACATTTCATGTACGCTGATCAAGAAAAACATGAGTGTTTGAAGAGCAGAATGGATGTGCAAGAACCTCAGTTCAGAATTATTGCTTATAGGTAGTGGTTGTAGAAACAATTGATGTTAATAACAGGTCAGAATTAATCCATGGACTTGTAAACTGAAAGTGCTGGGTACTTCACATTGTGTGGAGTAAGAATAATAGCTTTGCTAAGATGACAAGAAAGCAAGGACTTTATTGCTTGCAACCAGAATGCAGAGAAAGTGTGTGGTTAGAATACTGTGATGAATAAAGTGAAGTGCTGTATAATTTTGTTTTATGGTACAAATAGCTACCCTTTTAAATACGCTTGTTTTAGTGTGTTTTTTCCCCACGTTTTAGAAACCATTGGTACTAAAAATAATACTAAGCCAAATATTGATCTTTTTTTCCTACTCAAATAAAGTATACGTCAGCTATGGGATATGTTGTTTTCACCATTTGCATACTTCATTTTTTAAAAAATCATAATACATTATGGAAAT